CTAATGATAGTTATATAAGAGCAGATGCTGCTGGTGCAATAAGCTGTAGTTTTACATCCAATGGATGATGATCTGATTAGTCGACTATCAAAATAATCGTTTGTGGCAGCCCTATTTTGCACAAGTCTGTAGATTCTCACTGTTGTACCATCTCAGACCTCCTGCCAGTGATCTGAGCCAAAGGTCTCATATTAAGACCTGCCACTGATTTTCAGTCCAGTTCTTGTGTACTTTGGCTTTTCTTCACATTTTTTGACAGCCATCCTTCCACTGAATCCAGTTCTAATGAGGCTAAAAACTAGATGCTTCAACATAGGAGCCAGATGCATCATTCAGGCCTTTGTTGTGCTGTTGTTTCCTTTGTTGTCCACATGTGCTTTTCCCTTAACATATTAAAGGCACTGCTCACCACACTGTGTCATACCAAGTTTTGGCTGACAATGCTTTGAAAATCACGCTGCTGGTACAATAAATATTATTTTATGCCTGTCAAACTTATCTATGGCATTTTTGTAAATGCAGCTAAAGAAATGGGAAGTTGTTTCTTTGAAAAGGCTTCTAGTGATTATATCTTTAGGCAAGAGGCAACATGCCTAAAGAGATCATCTGAAGCAGTTTTGTCATTTCATTCCTTCAGTTAGGAGGATTTTATAGCCTTCAATGCTTCACAGGTCAGTGTTAAATTTTCTTTCTTTTTCAAACCACCGGCACGTCAGCAGGGCCATTTCACAGCTCCTTTTAAATGAGTGTAACTCTGTTACAGTTTGTGCAACAGGCAACATTGAAACGTGTCAGTAAGAACAGAAGCTGAGCTTTACAGAGATATTTGGTTTGTCATGGTAGCACAAAGCATTCACAAGGTAGTGCTGTCTGAAGACAGACTGATTTTGTCACTTTACAGCCAAACTTCCAGGTGGATTGCATCACCTGGGTGATAAAGGGTTCAGAGGCTAAACACAAAAAAGACATTCCTATGAAAATGCTCATGTATGAAAAACTAAAGAAACACTTTGAAAAAACCATCAGAGAATCAGGAGAACTTGAAAAATTACATTTAAAAAGTGGATGTGAAATACAAAGAAATGAGGGCTCAAGACTTTTACGCAGTAACATTCTGCATTTAAATATCTCTGGAAAGATGAATGTGTTTGTTTGTTCTCCCGAACGATGTCACAGATCAAGAAATCTGTTTACAATGTTAAAAACTTGGATGAATAAAACTCAGTGATGAGATAAAAATAGAACTTTACATAACATGATATAAAAACTCACTGATGATTGTTTCACAGTCCCACTTCTCTTCTGGAGCTTCAACAACAACGGTTTCCATCTCTTCTTCTTCATCCTCATCTTCCTCCTCCTCCCTCACAACAGGAAGCTCTTTGGGACCTAAATCGTCCGGCCTCAGAAACCTGATCCACAAAACAGAGGGGAAAAACCCCACACACAATACAGGGAGTGCAGAATTATTAGGCAAATGAGTATTTTGTCCACATCATCCTCTTCATGCATGTTGTCTTACTCCAAGCTGTATAGGCTCGAAAGCCTACTACCAATTAAGCATATTAGGTGATGTGCATCTCTGTAATGAGAAGGGGTGTGGTCTAATGACATCAACACCCTATATCAGGTGTGCATAATTATTAGGCAACGTCCTTTCCTTTGGCAAAATGGGTCAAAAGAAGGACTTGACAGGCTCAGAAAAGTCAAAAATAGTGAGATATCTTGCAGAGGGATGCAGCAGTCTCAAAATTGCAAAGCTTCTGAAGCGTGATCATCGAACAATCAAGCGTTTCATTCAAAATAGTCAACAGGGTCGCAAGAAGCGTGTGGAAAAACCAAGGCGCAAAATAACTGCCCATGAACTGAGAAAAGTCAAGCGTGCAGCTGCCAAGATGCCACTTGCCACCAGTTTGGCCATATTTCAGAGCTGCAACATCACTGGAGTGCCCAAAAGCACAAGGTGTGCAATACTCAGAGACATGGCCAAGGTAAGAAAGGCTGAAAGACGACCACCACTGAACAAGACACACAAGCTGAAACGTCAAGACTGGGCCAAGAAATATCTCAAGACTGGTTTTTCTAAGGTTTTATGGACTGATGAAATGAGAGTGAGTCTTGATGGGCCAGATGGATGGGCCCGTGGCTGGATTGGTAAAGGGCAGAGAGCTCCAGTCCCACTCAGACGCCAGCAAGGTGGAGGTGGAGTACTGGTTTGGGCTGGTATCATCAAAGATGAGCTTGTGGGGCCTTTTCGGGTTGAGGATGGAGTCAAGCTCAACTCCCAGTCCTACTGCCAGTTTCTGGAAGACACCTTCTTCAAGCAGTGGTACAGGAAGAAGTCTGCATCCTTCAAGAAAAACATGATTTTCATGCAGGACAATGCTCCATCACACGCGTCCAAGTACTCCACAGTGTGGCTGGCAAGAAAGGGTATAAAAGAAGAAAAACTAATGACATGGCCTCCTTGTTCACCTGATCTGAACCCCATTGAGAACCTGTGGTCCATCATCAAATGTGAGATTTACAAGGAGGGAAAACAGTACACCTCTCTGAACAGTGTCTGGGAGGCTGTGGTTGCTGCTGCACGCAATGTTGATGGTGAACAGATCAAAACACTGACAGAATCCATGGATGGCAGGCTTTTGAGTGTCCTTGCAAAGAAAGGTGGCTATATTGGTCGCTGATTTGTTTTTGTTTTGTTTTTGAATGTCAGAAATGTATATTTGTGAATGTGGAGATGTTATATTGGTGTCACTGGTAAAAATAAATAATTGAAATGGGTATATATTTGTTTTTTGTTAAGTTGCCTAATAATTCTGCACAGTAATAGTCACCTGCACACACAGATATCCCCCTAAAATAGCTCAAACTAAAAACTACTTCCAAAAACATTCAGCTTTGATATTAATGAGTTTTTTGGGTTCATTGAGAACATGGTTGCTGTTCAATAATAAAATTATTCCTCAAAAATACAACTTGCCTAATAATTCTGCACTCCCTGTAATCAAATAGATCAGTTAAAGCCACACCACTAAAAGAATGAAATATCACTCACTCCTTCTCTTTCTGTTTGAAGTAGTCTTTGAGGACTTCATCCAGACGAACACTGTCTGGTTCGATGAACCCTTCCAGCTCAGCGTTGTCCAGCGGACCGATCTCAACATCATCAAATTGTTCATAAAACTGAAACGGCACCATACAGGAAGTGTGAGCTCTGTTTTATCTCAGGTGCTTCATTTGTCACTGTACTTTTACATGAAGATGTTCCTGACAGAGAAAAGACTCCATACGAATGCAAAAATGTTCACCTTTTCAAAGCGGTCGTCCAGCAGGGTGAGCTGCTCGTTCCTCCTCATCACAGACGAAGTCAGCGAGTACTCAGTGAAGCGACTCTTCGTCTCCTCGTCCATGAACAGAAACTCTCGACCTCGGCCGTCCCCTTCCGCGTCCTCGTTGCTGGAAAAACCGCCTTCAGAGTCAAAGTCGCCTTCCTCATCTGTGTCCTCCCACTCGTCATCATCATCGTGACCGTCTCCTCTATCACAGGTTACACAAATACAAACAATTACAACAGGATATGACAGAATTTTTGCAGCCCCGGGGCTGAGATAGATTTTGGTCGCCCGACCGGAGATATCGCTAGCACCGGGACGTCGGGCTAGCGATTTTGCGAGCCCTGGAACAAAATGCGTTTTAGCAGTAAGGAACAGTGAGTCTCTGTCTTCCTGTTTTATTCAAAATGAATTGAGATACAGCTCAAGTTTTAGAGGTGTTTTGATGATCAGAAAATACTTTTCTGATTGTGTTATAAAAGTTAAGGCGCCAAAAGTCACATTTAAACAATGTTGCTGTAGCGAAAATGAACTTTTAGAAATCAGCCTTGCAGTTAGTTTCATTCGGGCTTTACAAAAGTCTCTAAATGTCTAGAATCACAAATCTGGAATAATCTCGTTTTTTAAAAGATACAAAAATAACCTTTGAGGAATAAAAAGAACATTTTGACTATTGAAATGCTTACTCCACAGCTCCAGTCCCACTGTTTGCTCTGATGATGAAATCATCATCCAGGATGTTGTTGGGGTTCTCAAAATCAAAGTCATCGTCGAGCGCAGCTACAATGTCCGGATCCATGTCGAGCCGGGGTCCTGGAGGAAAGTGTATAAGACAGTTTCACTGTGACGTCAGGAGCCGAAGGTTGGCTTTAGGTTGCATCACATGTTAGAATTAACACATTATCTTTAATATGAAACAAAGTATATTTATGTAAATGTCTATATTATTATAGTGAAACAAAATTTTGCACAAAATATCGATGTATTGAGCTCTACGCTGTGCTCACTTGACTGCAGAAGCAGAAACGGGTCACGGAGAGGAGTTTGTGTTGGTGTGTGGGAGCTGCAGCCTGTAGGTTTCTACTGTTAACTGAAGTTATGAGACGGTGTTTCAGATCAGTTCACAGAGTAAAATAAAAGTAAAGTAACGAGTAGTATAACGACCGTCTTTCTCCAGGGAGTAATTAAGTAACATACTGCATTACCTTAAAGTATTCCATGTATCATGTGTTATAACTTTATTTTTATCAATGACCAGAACAAAGAGGGGAAACAGCAGACAACATGTCATTAATTTGCATGAATGTAATGTCTTTCATATGTTGCTTAGAGACGGCGGCGACTCTCAAAGTGGAGCCAACGAGAATCGATAAGAGATATCGATAATGGAATCAGAATCGCTAAATTCTTATCAATTCCCGTCTCTAGATATGACACCACAAACTGACTCCCACCACACGACTCATTTTTGCATATTGTGTTGTAATTTGCATGTTTGACAAGCACGGCTCTAAAACCTGCTGTTCTGCTGCAGGACCCAAATCTGCTGATGAGACGCAAATTTTCAGTTTTGTTTGGTTTTAGAAAATCTTCTAAATCGGGTCACACAGTAATTAGTGTGGCAAATCTTGAGCGACAACATTCAGACAGTATTTAATGATGATTTACATCCAAGTTATTAAGATAACTATTATTTTAGAAGCTTGATAAAGGTCATAAAACACATTTAAGTGATGGGCTGTTTACCTGAAATGGGAGCAGCTTTGTTCAAAAGTCCCACCTTCTCTTCGAACTCTGAGGCGAACACTGAAGAAGGCAGGTTGATGGAGGCGGCCTGCTCGTTGAACAACACAGGGATCATTTTAGATCAATTCCTCAGAGTAACTAGATGGTGCACAAGTCTGTTAAAAATGTTTCACAGCAACTCACAGGATTGTCCTTGTGCACGGTTTTTCCCCCCTCATTCTCCTCCTCTTCACCTTGGAGGGAAAGAGGCTGTCTGTCAGAGTACACCAGCTCAGATGGGCCCGACGCCTCCTTCAGGTGCTGAAGGTAGTTATAATCATCATCAAAGAATACGCCAAATTTCCGCTGCTCCTCACGCCTCTTCTCCGTTTCCACCTAAGCAACAACAAACACATGATCACAGCATCACATTAATGCTGCATTTCTGAAATATTAGCCACCGGGTTGTAGCCCCTTTAGTTTGACCAAAGGAAATCAGAGCAGAAGAACGTGATTGAACAAATACAGAAGAAGAAATAACAACTCTAATTATGACAAATGACTTTGCTGATTCCTTTTTCATTGTGAAGTCCTGAACAGTTTAACCCCCTTTAGGGTTCTTAAAAACCAACAAAAGCTAAAATCAGCTATAAAATCATTAAACACACATCCTGTGAAGATGAGTAAAAAGACTTATGATCAGAACAGCAAGGTTGTACCTTTGTGGCAGGCAAGAGGACATGCTGTGGCGCTTTCTCATCTGCAGCCAGAGGGTCCTTTTGACTCCTGTGGACGAGGTGAAAGGTCACAGCCTTCTTCTTGTCAATAAATGCCTTCTTCTTTCGATGGGGCTGAAAGAAACAGAAAATAAGCCAGAGAGAAACTTTGAAAGACTTCTGAAAGCCTAAATGCGCATTACTCAAGACCACTTTCAACAATACAACAAAGTCTGGCTGATTGGAAACAAAATATAAATAAACTAGAGCTGATTCAATGCTCAGTACTGTATTACAATACAAATACAACACCGTGGGGATCGTCACGCAATAGTGTTCTCAATAAGCAAACGTAACACGGATTCCTTATGGCTGACGCCATGGCAAACTTGGTTGAATTGTCAAAAATCAAAACTTAAGCCATTTCCTTTGTTTGTTTTAAAGAATAGTTTTTACTTCAGTCAACTAATATGTTTTCCCCTCACCTACCTACCTACCTTAAGTTTTTAATCCTGCTGTAGTAAACACCTATAACAACTTCGTTTTGTAATGTAGTTGCTAATGCTGTGTGAGATGCCACTTTACTACTTACGTCCAACTGTTTGAGCAGGGTACAACAAACGCTGACAATGATTTTAGAGACTCTTTGAGATCATTTGAGTTCATGGGTAAACTCTCTAGCTCACATGAATAGGATTAACAAGACACTTTTCATTTAACTTACTTTTAAGTTTTCAATGTCCACTTCCAATTATAAAGCTATCACAACCTCTCGCTCACCAATTTCTTTTACCAGTTTCTTGAGGAATTGGCACGTTAGCCACTGTTAGCTAACAACATTAGCTGCCTTAGCCTGGCAATATCTTACCATTGTGTTATAGAGTCTCTCCTGTTTTCCGACGGGTCAAGCGAAAAGGTCTTCAAATCTCGATTCACGGGTAGCTGTTACAACATGTAACCGTTTAAGTGCTCACTCCTTCTCCGTTGTTTATACACGCTGCCTTCACCTTCACCACGCTGATGCTACCATTACTGGAAAGAACCATTAGCAAGACTAAGGGGGGTATAGGCATCGATATGAAAGCATTGATATGCTACGATGAGGTTTTCTTCCCCACAAAAAATAAATAATGTTGTAAAATATTTAAAACTATGTTTATATTTATAATATTATTCGTGATTCCTGCGTGTCATGTATGTGTAATTTAATTCCACGACATTAAGGAGTTAGTCTATTCCAAGAATTTTTTCCCCATGCAACTTTATTTATATAGTGCCGAAAAACAAAAATATTTTTCGGTCCTTTAGGGGTCGCCACACCGTATTATGTGTTAGTGATGGGCAAAGGAAGTTTTTATGATACACAGAATTCAAGGTTTCAAAACAGTTTTACGTGTCTCCACAGTGACATCTGCTGGACACAATGTGCAGACAGGCGTTGTAAGTGCACTTACTATATCAACAATTATGATTAACACTTGTTCTGGAGAAACCACCGTACAAGCAAAAAAAGAAAGAAAGACAGAAAAGAAAAGAAAAGAAAAGAAAAGAAAAGAAAAATGCTGTTATCGTTGAACAATTCGTTTCAGCAAATACTATTAAATTCTCATGTTAAAATACAAAAGGCTTTTTCATGTACTAAATAATTCAGGACAAACCAATTTATAAAGAACTTTTTTTTTAAAAAAAGATGGCTATATCTATTGATGAACAGGTTTTCAGCTGTTTTGAGGCTGAGCTGTGCTCCATCCTTTGTCCAGTATTTGAATAATCTCCACCTTGCCTCGGCTCCAAACCACACATTAGGTTTCACTACCGTTAAGTAAACCTGCTTTTTCACTCTTGCTGCTGTCCTTCTGTAACCAGTCAGCCTTGGCATTATTTTCTACCTGTACTCTCTTCTTCAGTGTCTGTTGCTTTGTGTGGTTGCGACTCTGTCTCGCATACTTTCACATACGCAGGTATGCTTCCATCTTTTCCACTACAGATCACAAAGCCGTCAAACATCGTTGTCAAGCTGCCTGACCTCGTCTGTCAGCCTGTTCATCACCACTGCAAACAAGAAGTAGCTCACAGCTGATCCCCTTACCAACCTAGCGGTCACTTCTACTGTCTCGCTGTCATCATACATGTCTTGCACCATCCTCACATACTTCCATACATCCTCATGCCACTGCTGACTTCCTAAAGCAGCTGATTTTCAAATGAAGGCACAGATATGCCCTCAGTATGTCTTTACATTTCTTTATTTCTTTCTTGTGTATAAAATTATTGAGGAAACATGAATGAGACACATTGTATGCATTCTCCACAGCTCCACTGTAGTTAATACTATAAAGTAATATTTTTTATTGTATGTGTGTGTGTGTGTGTGTGTGTGTGTGTGTTTCAGCTGAGTCATATTTCAGTGACTGTTTGGTTGGTGTGACCACACCTTCATTCAGTTCTACACGTACAGTTTGAGTCGTTGCGAAAGAATCCAAACAGCACAAGAACTGAAAGCTGTCACTCCACTGTCACAATATCTCACACAAAAGAAGTAATGTCTACTTTTTAGTAGAAAAAAAAGAAAATGTCTCATGTAAGCACTTAACATCACAGAGCACGGAGTGTTTTGCAGTTTTCTTTTTTGTTTGGTGTCTTTAAGAAAAGACAGAGAAACCTTGGCTAGATCCAGTCTCTGTGCACCAGGAGGTGATATTCCACTTCCCCGGAAATTGCTTTGATACAAGAATAGCAGTGCAAACATTTTTGTTTTAGATCACTCTGATATTTTTCCATGTCTTATGTTAAACATTACTGGTTGTCAATCAGCAATTTTTGTCTTTCAAAACTTATCTCTACCCAATTTACACTCCAGGCATTTTTTACAGTGATTTTCTTGTATTAAGTCTTTATTATATTGATCAGTTTGGTGGTTCTCTCTTCAGTGTTAAAGTAAAAAACAAGCACATTTTGTGTCCTGAATAAAATGTTGGAATGTTTTAATTTGAAAACTAAATGATCAGTGTGTATGTTTAATTGTAGTTTTCCATGTGACGTCATAGAACAAGCTTGCCACGTAATCCTGCACTAAATATCAACAGCTATTTGTATAAATCTATTTTATCAAATTACTAATGCAACAATGCTAAAGTCCACAAAAACAAGTAGGCCCAAAATCTGGCTTGAATAGTCCTCCAAAGAAATTCATGAAAGAGAAAACACAAAAACCAAGTTTTATTTTAAAATGATTCCCACTCAAGCAGGGAGCAATAAACCGACAGAAAATAAACCAATACTTTGTCCAAAAGCTTAAGTCAACAAAATTTAGTTCAAGCACTATGACAAAGCATGCTGCAAATGCAAGTTTCTGCTTTTGCTATCCGTGAAGTCATTCATGTGCAAATTACATTCTGCTGATGTGAACCGATCTGATTCATTACATTTTTTCAGGGGTGGAACCCAGTGATGGCCTTCCTGTAACAGCTAATTTTCAAGGTTAGGCACAGACAGGTTCATTCATTAACAGCTGCAGTTAGCCTTTTTCACTTTTTATCATAATTAAGATAAGATGCAATCAGCTAACAGAAAAAGGGCCTTAAAAAATCCTCAAATTTTTAAGATTTCTTCGGTAAACAAAAACAGGACGCATGTATAAAGGCACTCATGTTGCTGCCACAGTGAAGTGAAGTTGTTAGTCAAGACAACTTCACGTGATTGCCTTGAAAGTGAGTGTAAGAGGATCAGTTGCTCCTTTAATTTTTTAGTTTTCTCAAAACTACTAACAGTCAGACTGATTTGCACAAGCAGAATTCGACTGGACGAGTGTGAGATTGATGCAGACTTGCCAGGCAAACACTCTCGTGCACTTGGCTGCTTTACAGACCCAGCTGTTAAAGTCCTACATTTGAGCTCACAGACTCGTACCATGTCAGAGGCAGTGAATACCTACAGATGGACCCATGACCAAAATTATAAACCACTCCCATTCAAAAACATTTGAGCTCAGACAGTGTTTTCACATTACATTTCAAATAATAATAATAGCACAGAATCTGAATCATGGCGAAGTTTAATATTCACAACATTGCTCTTAAAGATGATCTGCTGCGTTTTGTTCCTCCGCTGGTATCCGTTTCAGTTCCTCCTCATACGTTCATCGACAACATCAGGAACTGTGAGGCAAAGAGGAAAAATTGTAGTCAATGTTCACACGACCAGCAAAAGCATGAAGGCTGTGAATGCTGCGTCCTAAATCTGGTTAGTTATTGGGAGATAAAGGACGCATAAAATGTCTGACAGCCTGACTGTCACGGACCTGGATAAACAGACGCATCAGGTATGTGAGGTACAGTACAGTAGAAGATACAGTAGAAAAAGACTCAGGATTCACGTTTGGCGTGTTTGTGTTTACCTGCATGATGTTCATTTGCACTCGTCCCCTGTTGAATTTGTCCAGAGCCTGGAAAACTCCTGGATAAAAAAACACAGCAAGAAGTCTTCTCTCTGATCTTTATGTATTTTGTACTTATTGTGATCCTTGTTTCCCAAAGTGTAAAGCGATCTTTTAACATAGTATGTTGTACATACTGAACATGTTCTCCAGACGGACAATGCAGGTGAGGTAGTCATCAAAGTCAATTTCGTAGTTCTCGTCAGCAAACCTCAGCCCCACCAGCTGCAGGAGCGGGTTGTTCAGTTGCATGCCTGCATTGGCGGAAAAGCAGCAGTTATCTTTGAAACTTTGATGTTCAGATAAAAAAGATTTAGACTCAACTTACCAGAGACTCAGGACAGATGTAGTCTTAATATTCATTAAAATCATTATTGTAATGTTTGCAGTGTTATAATTACTGCTTTGATTAAGAACACACTAAAAATATACTGCTATACTATATCTACTAACATTTTTAATAATATTATTATAAATGATAGTTACAGGAAATGTAGCTGTGATATTACATGTACACCTTATGAAACAACTTTATTTGAAGTGCAAATTCAATGAGTATTAAAATAGGACAAAGGTTTGTTCAGTCACAGAAACTAACAGGTGAAAACTGAATTCGTCAAACAGAGTTTTATATATACATGTATACACACGATTAATGTGTCTTGAATCGTCTTGAAAAGCTGAACACATTTAACTGGCACGTCACTAATCCCCCTCAGAGATATTTACACTGGCAGATTTCAGCAGAAAGCCAGTATCATCAATAAGGACCACTCACACCCTCGACACTCGTTTTTTCCCTTCCCTCTGGTAAACACTACAGGTCCATCAGGTGAGAGAGAGAGAGAAAGACGGGCTTGGGAACTCTCACCTGCGGCTTTGAGAGCGCCACGAAGCTCATAAGATGACATCTTTCCTGACCGGTCCGTGTCAAAGGATAGAAAGAGCATCTGTAGCAACGGACGTTTGTGGTTAATAGTCTGAGCAACAAAGAAAAGTGCTCCTCCAACATTTCATTTACAGTTTTTCAATATAAATCAACACCTACAATCCACTTCTTCAGTTTTTCCCAGAAGACCTTAAACTCTTGGAACTCTATCTTTCCCGTGTTGTCCACCTGGTTTACTGTGTCAAGAGAAAACCTAAGAAGCATTGTGGAAAATAGCTTACCAACAAAACCTTCTCACATATAAACAAACACACACAAAAAATATTCGATAACTTTGTCATGTGATGGAATATGGACATGCTGGCATAAGTATCACTATTTTAGTAAAGCACCCATTAGGGCAAACAAAGTACGCATGGCTTAACTTATGTAACACAATGACAAGCATAGAATGAGTCAGTAACTTGAAAGGATACATCCATAAGATTGATGATACTGTGACAGGTGCTGAGACTCAGGCCATCAAATTTGATCTCTTTTCCTGAAGATAAAGGATTAAAGTGGTAGTGATACAAAAAGCATGGCTACCTGTAATAATGCAACACAAAATCCGAAGTTTATGAATCATCTCTGACCATTAATATAAGGCATCAAGATGTGAGGAGAAAATGTATACACTACACAAAAGATAAAGTATTTTGCTATGTGATACTGACCTCAGGTGTTTT